TTCCTCTTTCTCTCAATTCAACAAAAACATATCCTTGGGTGAAGATTAAAAATAAATGAATGAACCAACAAAAACTGTGATGTGAAAGAGGGACAGAAAGCATTGACTAAAAGAACTGAAAGGAGAGGCTGAAATTGAAATCAGGTTAGGTATTAAGTTTTGGTTAGGCTTACCATAAGTGACTCCATTTCAGGTCTATTGTTTCTTTTTAACATATTGTTCATTTCACCTTACACAAGTGCACTTAGCTCTTCAAAAAACTATCAACCAGACATAACTTGCAGAACCTGCTGTTGTCTTCTGAAATTTGTATTTAGTCATGGCCTAGCTATATGCTTCTAAGTGTAGTGTTTAAAAGAACATGATTGATAATTGCAGTTTCAAAGAAATGTACTAAAATTGTTTATAAAAGCAGTTTTATATAGAATATTTTAAATCTGGCTAAAATAGAGGAAACAACAGCTATGATAAAAAGGAAAAATTTGTAGCAGTAAACAGAGAGGAAGCTTTGCTACTATGTATCTGTTACCAACTCAAGTCTTCCTCCTGGCCTCCTCAAAACAGCTCAAGTTGTTTCAGCATTGGAATCTTCAAAATCAAGTCCCAGGTTGCCCCCTGGATTGCTGATCCTTTTTAGGGTATCTTTCCTAGATTTCTATCACAGTGTTACTTGGGGCAAAGACATTTTCTGGACCTCTCAGAAGACTGTATTAGATGATCTCTAAGAAGTCTGGGCTCTAGAATTCTTTGATTCTGAATTTTCCTTGGGAAAGGTTATTTTAAATATGTTGTATTCGTTTGTTTATTCATTCAGCAGGTAAACATTAACCTACTGGTGCAAGGCTCTAGACAAAAAGTGCATTGAAGATGAAGAGGGAAATGCATTCAAAGCCTCTGAAGTAAAAAAAAAAAAAAAAGATGAAGTATTTGAGGAACTGAAAGAAATACAAAGTGGTTGGGGATTAATTAAGGTGAAAATGCTGCAAGATGAGGCTAGGGAGGTAGGTGTGGCGGTGGCGGTGGTGAGGGTAGCTAGTAGATCAATTAAGATTTAGGATTTTTTCCCTAAGAGCCAGGGAAATCTGAATGGTTTTAAACAAGTGCTTTGATCTGATATGCATATTTATTTATTTATTTATTTATTTATTTATTTATTTATCCTCACTTGAGTATATTTTTTCCATTGCTTTTTTCACAAAAACATTGACTGGTTGTCTCCCACACCCACTCGGACCAGGGTAAGGGACTGAGCATGCAACCGAGGTATGGACCCTTGGCCGGAATTGAACTGGGGACCCTTAAGTCCGTAGGCTGATGCTCTAACCACTGAGCAAACTAGCTAGGGCATCCAAATTTTAATACAATTAGAAAACAAAAAGTAGCTTATTCTATCCACTGTAATTAATTACCCTTCCATTCGAATCTAATTAACTTTTCTCTATTATATTTATTTTTTATGCCAGAATTAAATTGTGTTTAATATGACAGCTAAAGGTTAGCTGATACCTGACTGGAATTTGCTAAGTTTAAACAATAAAGACATGCTAGACTTTTGATAAAAATTAAACGTATAACTCAGAGAACTGGTTTTGTAGTTAGTCATATTTCTAAAATTCAGGGACATTTTCAGTAACATCTTTGAGCTTCAACAATGTATGTATAAAGGAGGGCTACTGAATATTTGTAAATATACTAAGTATATATAGTGTGACCCCCAAATGTATACACACTTAACAGCTAATAGCTCAATTGATGTTTCTTTCCTTTCAGATTTAACCCACTGGAATTAATAATTATTCAAAGTGTGTATACATTTTGTGGACACCCTTTATTTGTATATATATTAAGTACATCTAAGTTTCAGGGACATGTCCTAAATTCCAAGTTTTCTGGGCCCCGAATATATGATACTATCAAGTCTTAGTTGATCATATTCATGTGAAAGTACAGTGGTTTCAGCAAGCGCTTTTTTTTTTTTTAAGAGAAAAAGCATTCCTTTACTAGATGAAAATATCTTTAATCTTATACTCGAATATGAAAAATGCTAATTTCACTTGTAAGTGCAAATTTATAGACTAATAATTGAACTGGAAAGGAATTCAGAGATTGTTTAATCTAGTGGTTTTCATAGTGTGGGTCCCCTGATCAGCAAGTAGCATTTGGATCACATGGGAACTTTTTTAAATGCAAATTCTCAGGCCTACTCCAGACCCACTGAAACTCTAGGAGTGGGAGAGAGCAATGTGTTTGAACAAGCCTTTCCAGTTGATTCTGATGCAGGCTAAAGCTGGCGAACCATTGGCTTAATCCGTACTTCCCTTTAAAAAGTGGAATTACGGAGTTCCATAGAGATTAGGTGAAATCAATAAGGAAAGCAAAACAATGAGTTGGCCTGAAAGATACTAATTTATATTGCTTAAAATACGTCTTTTACATCACTCCACCTTGTTTCCCAGTCCATGTGTATTAGTTTTCTACGGCTGCTGTAACAAATAGTAATTTAGCAACTTAACAAAAATTATTATGTTACAGTTCTGAAAGGTCAGAAGTACAGCATCTGTCTCGCTGGGCTAAATCAAGGCATCTGCTTTCTGAAAGCTCTAGGAGGGAATCCGTTTCCTTGCTTTAGGCATTACTTCTTTCAGCTTTTCTGTAGTTTCTCAATTTTCGTTATTGACCAGGTCTTATTTTTATAACGTGAAAAAAGAAAGGAAAAGAAGAAAAAAACAACAACACGATGTAGCCACCTGCAATTAATTACAGGCCTGACTTGTAAGGTAGGTTTTTGAAGTCTCTGGGATATAAATGACAGGCTTTTTTTAAAAAAAACAACAACAACAAAACAAAAATCACTCGAAGCGTACTGTAGAGTCTTCCCAGATAAATTATTTTGAAAACTTCTTTAAAAATGAATGAAGACCACAAGTCACTTTCTAAACTTCTGCTCGCACTGCCTCACGCTACCTCTCCTGCGTCGCTGGTCACGGTTTAAATCCCAAGGCCTCCGCAGAGGAGTGAACTTTCAACACCTCACGGGCAGTCGCGCTGCCACAGAGCCCACGGCGGGCGCGGGGCGGGAGGGCAGCGCCCCGGGTCTGCCCGGCCGCGGCGGGGGCTGGACT